CGCAGGAATAGCCAAGACTCTAGAAGATAGGCTCAAGATACAGAAGGCTCTTGACAACCTTGAACACTGGGCCCTAACAAAATTAAAATCAGTAGTGAGAAAAATAAGGATCTGCATTTTGGCAAGAAAAACCTAATGCACAGGTATAGTATAGCTGGTACCTGGCTCAATAGTTGTAACTGCTAGAGGGATCCTGGAGTCCTATGGACAACCATTTAAATATGAGCCAGCAGTGTGCTATAGATGCTAAAAAAGTCAACCCAGTCCTAGGCTGCATTAACATAGGGATCAAATCAGGAACACAGGAAGTGTTAATGCCACTTTGTAATGCCTTGATAAGACCACACTTGGAAGATTGCATGCAGTATATAAAAAAAGATGTTGGGACTCTAGAAAAAGTGCAGAGAAGAGCAACAAAGACGATTAGGGAACTGGTAACTAAAACATGTGAAGAATGGTTGCAGGAATTGGGTACATCTAGCTTTTGATGAAAAGGAGGACTAGAGGTGACATGACAGCAGTGTTCCAATATCTAACCGGCTGCAAAAGAAGAGGAAGTCAGGCTTTTCTCCAAAGCACCTGAAGGTAGGACAAGGAGCATTGCATGGAAACTAATCAAGGCGAGAACCAACCTAGAAGTGATGATAAATTTCGCGACAGAACGATTAATTAGTGGAGCAACTTGCCCCCAGAAGTTGTGGGTGCTCCAACGGGAGAGGTTTTTAAAAAATGATTGAACAACCATTTTCTAAAATGGTATCGGGTTTCTTGCTAGAGCAGGATTTCCTGCTCGAGGTTTGGCTAAAAGACCTCCAAGATCTCTTTCAACTCTGTTATTGTGAAGTAAAATGGGTGTTGGCAGCTGCCAATTCGTATCCAAACATTCTCCTGGACAAATTAAGATGCCAGGTGGAAGCACTACTTTGTCCTGCAGTTTAACCAAAGGCTAAACCAAAAGAAAAAGAAAAATATATCCTGGGATTTGACATTCAAAATATGGAAAGCACCAGTTTTCCCAACCCTGCTAGAGATCAGATTTGGCTTGGAACTTCCTAAAAGTTTATAATTACAGAAAAACCGAGCAATGACTCCTCACTTAAGTAGACAGTACTGCTTGCCAGAAATGCTCCCATGCATATTTGCTTTAAGAAACAAACACAAAAAAAATTCTTGGAACTCTTAAAGGCCCTTTAAAAAGGAATGATCATAACACAGGGAAATGAACTTTGTCTTGGAGTAGGAGAGAAACAGATTCAAATGGGTTCCTGGCAGAAGCTAGTCCCAAGCTAGTCATCAAAAAATTAACGACTAATTTGCAGAAGCTGATTTTCCAATATGTATTTTTAAAAATCTAGAAAAACTTCTAAGCCCCTCTTAACATCTAAATACCTGCTTAGGAATAAATTCAGAGGCTCCTACTTTATTTTGAACAGCTTTACTTGAGGCTACAACTTGATTGTACTTTCTTATTACCATACTTAAAAAAAAAAATCTTTCTCCTGTAACCTCAGAGAATTTTGAAATGAAAGATCATTTTGAACACTCACCCAGTTCAAATGCATGGGTTTATTTGAATTAGAACGTGCACCAAGACATTCTGGTTTCCTAAACAAATTCTCATAATATCCAAATTGAGAAGTTATGACTTGATTTGCTAAAGTCTGTGTCTAATTTCTTTTTTTTATAAAGTTTTTTTATTTTTAACAACAAACTTAGACAAACATAAACATGAAACAAAAAATAAAACCTTTCAATTAATCAGTGTCGGTTGGTACATGTTTCTTGTGCACAATATCTATAGTCTTTTCCTCTTAGATTTAAATTTACATATTACCTTAGTCAACTTTTCATATCATGTTACATTATGATTACATCATCATTAGACTTTGATTTCAAATCCGCATGATCCTTTAGAGCAAATCTCAGGTCATACTAATTTTAATTCCTATTATAATTATTCCAAAATAATCCATTATAACATGCCATTGTATTATACTTCAGTTTCCTACTTTTCTATCTAACCATTGGTAAAATAAATCCCATATCTTAAAAGTACTGTTTTTCTTCTTGCTCTCTAATTGCTAATGTTAATCTATTCATTTCTACCCATTCCATTATTTTCTTAATCACCTCCTCGTCTATCAGAATTTTATTATTTTTCCAATTTTGAGAAAATATAATTCTAGCTGCAGTTAAGACATTAATAATCAAATATGTCAATTCTCTGTTGTAACGTTCAGGTAAAATTCCCAATAAAAATATCTCTGGTTTTAAATCTATATGCTGTTTTGTCATTTTTTTCCAGCCATGTGTGTATTTTAATCTGGCATCTTTTAGCTTCTGCACATGTCCACCACATATGGTAATGTGATCCAGGTGTCTGATGACATTTCCAACACTTCACCGATTTATCCTTGAACACCCTTGCTATTCTTGCAGGGTAAATGCCACCTGTAAAACATCTTATACAAATTCTTTTTATATGCTGTCGACATTGTTAGTTTACAGTTTCTAGTCCATAGTTTTTGCCATTTTTCTAAATCTATCCCATATCCAAAGTTTTTTCCCCCAAGCAATCATTGTTTCTTTAACTTGTTCTTCTTCTAATTTCACTCCTAGTAAATAACCAAATAATTTTTTAATCATCCTCTCCTCAGGACCTGTTAAGATTTTATCTAATTCATAAAGTTCTTTATTCTGTCTTACTATCTTTATCATATCTAGAATGTATTTGTGTCCAGTTTCTGAGTTCTCTTAAAAGTCAGAGGCTTAAGATTAGAAATGGTTCTTGCCCACAGAGTACACTACCTTGTATAACATGTCTGTAGTCCTCTGAACTTAAGTAAATCTCTTAGCAGCTGAACGATCTACTTTATAAAATCTCTGATCACCTGGAAAGTTCTTCATTCTCCCTTTTTTTTCTTAACAAAGGATATCAGAAAATTAAATCGTTTTTTTTTAAGGGTTATGTCCTAATGCTTTAGTACAAACACTGTGATTACCGTGGGAAACTCTCTATAGTTATGATTATTATGTCTTAAAATAACCATAGACTAGAAAAGGATAAACAAAATTATCAAAGAGCTGAAGCAATTTAGCTACAGTGCAAAGATACTGTATTGCAATAACTTAAATGTTTTGGAAAAAGCGAGAAAATAAGGCGAGAAGCAAATATGAATGGGACAAGTTATGTAGAAAAAAGTTAAATAAGTTATTTGCTAATATAATACCAATATTTAGGATCAGCAAAGGTAAGTTCTTCACAGAGCACATATTTAAACTATGGCATATTAATATCATGAAATGGAGTGTGATAAATTGTTGGCAGTTTGTTTGTTCATCTTTAGAAATAAATGAGAGACAATCATGAAAGTTAAGGCTTTCAGTGACTACTGAATCCATCTAGATTGGTTTGTGTTATGTTTATGGCAGAATGTATTCTTTGATACAACAGGCCCTACTTTCCCACCCTCCTAATGTTCTCATTGATGCCAAATATGGTTAGATTAGGATTAAATTACTTTCATACATGTAATTTGTGTTCTACCACTAGTGTCTGTTACCTCTGTACATGTTTTTAAGTGTTTTGCCGGTATACAGGCTTAATTAATGTATGCTACCGATAGCACTGCAGCAAACAAATCACTGCATGAATTTAGACTTTTAGTGTAAATCATGTAATTTGGAAAACAAAGGGTACAGTCTAAAAAGAATATACAAGGAACAAATAGATTAAACTCCATAAAAATTAAACTAGAGCTTTTTGTAAAATCATGGACAAAATAAGAATTGATTTTGTTTCTGTGCAGATCTTCAGATATCCACAGCATCTTTTGTTTTTTCCATTTATAGGAAGGAAAGAACAAATGAGAATTTGGCCACCAAGTTAATACAAATGTTTAAATGCTTATCAGTATTATTATAAATATCTGCAAGCCAGTACTTGAAATAAAGCCAATATCTACTGCACTCCTGCATGTAGGCTATTGAAATAGGACCAACTAAAGTAATTCTGTAGTTTAATCTGAATTCAATTCTATTTGAGATATCAGAGTTCTAATAAGAATCATTAGATAAATATGAATTTACTAAAACATTTACTGGATAGGCTGCAGTGCCATGGTTCATTCATGATATAAGCTATCAATTAATATAATAGTGGGATGGCAGGATTTATACACCAGAGTAATTGAAATTGAATAAAGGCCATATTAAGCCTTAGCAATTCTTGTGAATGTTAGCTATGTCATGCCTTTATTTGCTTAATAATCACACTATGATAAGCAAGCAAGAAATAAAAACTGATCTTGGTCACAATTTTGTTGAATCAAGAAACAGTCTGGTTGTTTCTTTAACAAGCTGAACATTTTCTGAGGTCTGTCAAATGAAGCCCCGGATTGTTGAGGGCAATACGCTGACTTGTAAACTGCTTAGAAAGTGCTGTAAAGCATTATGAAGTGGTATACAAGTCTAAGTGCTATTACTGTTTTTCTAATTTTCAGTAGCTGCTGAAAATCAGGTGAATGTCTTAAATTTGGGATTGCTTGCAGTAGCGTGGGACGGGCTATCTACAGCACTAAAATGGTGTTCTGACTGGGTGATTTAATCCCACTTCTTTTAAACGCTGAGCGAAATGCATAGATCGTATTCTGTCCTATAACATTTTTCTTCCCCAGACATGGCTGTAGTTCAGAAAATGCTTTGTGCATTTCCTTTAACTGCCTCTATTGATTGGAATGTGAATTCTTCATCCCCTGGAGCTTTCTGAGCATTTCAGGATCTGCTGATTGATTACCAATTCTAAACTGGTCTAAATCTTTGTAAGATGAGGGAATTTGAGTAAATAGAAGAGACTAGTGTTAATGGCAGAAACGGTTATTGTGTAATTTTTACCTTGCAAAAACATGTCAAGGCAGGCAAGCAGACAGATAGACAGATTCTGTGAACGGACATATACCTGCTAAACAATTGCATTAAAACTTATTCTGATTTTCTTTTAGATAACACCAGGAAGTAAAGCTTCACAGGCAAATCTGTGTCCCGGTGACATCATTATAGCTATTGATGGTCACAGCACAGAGAATATGACTCACAATGATGCCCAGGAGAAAATTAAAGCAGCAGCCCAGCAGCTCTCTCTGAAAATTGAGAGGTAATTCTTTCATGACTTACATGCTCAGGATCACAGTACCGAAATCTGACTTTGAATTCTCTAGGTCAAGAAGGAATGCATTTTTCCCAAGGGATTCCCCCCCCCCCCAGACTTTTTAAAAAGTCACTTTAGTAGTCTGTAATATAATTATGTCATAGGAGTGATTGGGATTGTTCTGATTTTTGAAAATCTTTTCTAAGTGTATGAAGCTGATAAACTGATTTTGTTGGGTTTTCAAAATAAAAAAATGAATTGCCATTATTGGTTTCTTTGTCACCTAATTTTGATGGCATAACTATGCTATTGTCACCACAAAAATGAGCAGCTTGCTTACCCTTGCATATAATAAATCATGTTCTGTGATTATGCATCAGGATTAATATCTTGCAATGTTTTTATTGCAATTAATCCTAAAAAATTTTAAAAAAAATGTACTAAAGTTGAAGACAAAAAAGTATTTGGTTGAAATTACACCTGTATCAAAAGAATTCTTGAGCGAAAAAAACAGCTGTCTATACAGATGCAAACTGTTTTACTTATTAACTCCAAAGAACCCAGTTCCTCAACCAGTGGTTGTCTTCCCCATAATAATAATATCAAATGAATTTTATTTAGTTTTGCTTTGATATGAGTTATTGCTTTAATTGCTTGAAATTTTCCATTCTCCATATCCTTATCCTTACAGAGCTGTTTGAGGGATGAGGTTCCTTCCTGTTTTGTGATTATTTTTAAAAAGTATTGCCAAATTAGTCTTTCACAATTTTTGTTTATCATTCTTATGCCATATGTTGCTTACTGTTCTAGACAATAGCAGATAAACACTGATACTGATAGGTTTGTCTTTCTTTTCTTTTCTTTTTCTACTAGTATAAGTTTTAAAAATACTGCAATTTGAAATTTATCCATTTTTTTAATGTGGGATTTAATGTACAAATTACCAACATAAACCTATATTGGTCAATGTGGACAGTAGCGTATTCAACTTCAGTCCCAATTAACTGTCGACCCATTATGTAATGACATAAATTCATAAAATGCTTATGATATGCTAAAAATGGTGAAATGTTTTGGATTCCCTAATTCATTCTTCATTTTTATCCAACAGGGCAGAGACTAAATTGTGGTCTCCACAAGTAGCAGAAGAGGGCAGACCACATCCATTCAAAATAAACTTGGAAGCTGAACCACAGGTAGCAATTGATTCAAATTACAGCTATGTCTGGACTGCAAGAATCCAGGTAGCCACTAAATGGCATTTAACACTGGAAAACACTAAAGTTATCTGCATAGCTTCCCTGCCATCTAATGGTTGACTGGATTTTTACACCAATACTCTTATTCTATTTTTAATTAGTTGGTACTTACCAACTTGTACAGGTAGTTCTCAACGTATGACCACAACTGGGACTGGATTTTTGGTTGTAAGTTACCATAGTCTTAAATCAAGACCCTCATGTGACAGGACCTGATTTTATGACATTTTTGCAGTGTTTATTAAGCAGATCGCCTCACATGTTAAGCAAATTCATGGTCATTAAGCAAACACTGCAATTGTAAGTGAACTCATTTTTCTGAATAGTCTTAGCCAGAAATGGTTGTTAACCAACCAATTGTAACTTCATTGCACTACTAACTGATAATTTAATATGACAACAACACTTAACCAGTGGATCCCAAGACTTTATGATTAAAGACTCTTGGAAATGATGGCTCTCATATATCTGTATTCTAGACTGACTAAGATCTTGAGTTTAACTCTCTTAGTATTTCACATCTGTAGATAAATTTTACTCTAATAGATCTAGGAATCAAATTAGTGAGATCTTGATAGATTTGCCCATTAATATAATATCTTCCACATCTAATGAATTCCTTGAGAACTATGATAGCTGAACTCAAAAATATCTAGAACTGAGTGTACTCAAGATAGTTTACATCTGAAAAGGCACTATAAGCTTGTCTTGGAATTTGTTGTTGACTGAATTGATTGACAAAATCAAGCCCACTGGGATTGGCTCACCTCACCTATGCCAGCAGGACCCCATCGGCCCAATTATTCTGACTAGCAGCATCCAGCAGAAGGACCGTCTCTGCCATTGCACCTGTCCTTTGGAATATCTTGCTCCCCCCAGAGAGAGGTCGGCTCCAACCCTTCTGACCATCTGGAAGAGCCTGGTTCTGCCAGTTAACGTGGGGGTCCAATGGGAGAGCATCACATTGGATGTGGTTGACCGATTAACAATAGAGCCACCTCCCCCCCCCATTCTGCTCCCACCATTCCTGTCTTTTAATTGCACTGCAGTATTTGACCTTTTGTACTAACTTATTTATATTTTTAATTTACATAGTTTTTATCTTTTACAATTGTAAGCCTTGAAGTAAGTCTTACAAGGTAACATTGGCAGCCTTTACAAATAAATAAATAAAATCAATTAGTCTGAAATTTAAGACTAATTAGTCTAAAATAAAAGAAATTGTCTACTAAAGTGCTATGCAATAAATCAAACTAACAGCAGTACATGGAAAAATAAGATTCACTAAATGGGAATTCAAATGGAAGTACGCTATTTCAAATCCAAACAACAAAATAATGACTAAATTACTGCCAAAACAAAATATGTAATTAAAATACTCTACTGGCTATTGACTTTTAAGTTATTAACAAATTATTCTAAGAAAGTTGATTGAATATTAAATTATATATTTAATTCTTTAAATACTAAATAATCATCTTGATGAGCAAAAAATAGGTGTTTCAATAATTGTTTTTCTGCTAATTTTAAAATAAAAAAAAATTCACTGCATTGACAGAATATACCTTCCTCATTTCACCCCTAACAAATTCAGATTCCATAATTTATTTTTGGATTCTTACTGAAATGCTAGTTAAGATGACCATACAGTATTTCAGAATTTTGTTACATTGCAATAAACAGAAGAGCTGGACTTCGTACCTTTTTTTGCTATGATTTGCTTTTTCAGTTTATCTTTCTGCACATATGGTGATATTTTGGGAAAGAAAAATTAGATCAAATTCACATTGCAGTAATGCATGTTGGCATAAAATGGATGCTGCTATACTGCATGCTGTTTCTGTAATATATCTCCCAATAGTATTAAAAATAGTTGGCTATACAATTTTCAGAATTTCTTTGCAATCAACATAGTTTCCTGCTGCCTAGGATTTTGATTCTTCTTTTGGGAGAATAACCTCTTTGATTAATAAGCACATTTAATAAGAAGTAAATCCCACTGATACTAATATAAAGCTTCATAAATGGATGGGCAGACAATTAGATTTAAATATTCTATTTTTTAACATTAACATTTAACATTGAGGACCCAAAATTGTTGTGGGCAATATGCTGAGTCTGTAAACCACTTAGAGAGGGCTGTAAAGCACTATGAAGCAGTATATAAGTCTTAAGTGCTATTGCTATTATGAGGGCCAGTATATTGATGGAAGGCCACTTTTCAGCCAATTTAGTTCAACTGAATACAGTGTAGTTCCATTGTTTTAAATGCTGCTTTGTGTTTGGAATAGAGTTCTTCCATTAATGTGGCTCTTCCAAATTATTTATGTTAACATTACTAGTGAAATTGGGCTTGAATGCTCAGTGCTCTTTCCTCACTATTGAACAAAACATATAAGAAAGCCAGGATACTATTTTTCATTTTGCAAAGCTACTTTTCTGGTTTTTGTTTTTATTTTGATGCCTCTGAATCAGTTTCTGACTCCAAGCAACTACATGGACTAGTCTCTTCAATTTTCTTGCAAGGTTCAGAAGTGAGAGATAATGAGCGACCCAAAGTCACCCAACTAGTTTTCACCTAAGAACTTGCATCTCCCAATTTCTAGCCTAATGCCTTTAACTACAACATCAAACAGGTTTTTCCCTTTCTGTTTAGAGAAACCTTTCCATGTGGGAGAATATTCAAATGGGTAGCCTACTATTTACCTCATGGATGACTATGCTCACAAGAAAAGAAATTTGATTATAGAATTAAATGTGGAGCTAATTTTGCCTATCTATCAGAGTTAGCCAGTTTGCTCCTCTAGGTGCTCTGATTGTTGCATGGGCCAATACAATAATTGTACGTTAACAATTCTTCAAGTAAAATTAGTGTCTTTTGCAAACTAGAGGACTGACTAAGAAATGTTAAAAGAATCACAGGAATATATTGTGAAACAAAAAAAAGCACAGCTGATTTTTAACTAAAGGAGATTTCTTTGGGGTGGTAATTGTTGTTCCCCATCTTGGTTACAGAACCATACTTGTGAAGTACGCTGTTATGAGAACATTTCTTGAATGTCCAAATCAGTTATTTAAAGCAGACTATGCTAGCAATAAGGATTAATTAAGAGAAGTTTGTAAACAATCTTACAAGTTGTTCAGTGGAGAAACAGTGATCCTCTGTTGGTATATGGGCCCTATCCTGATTATTGACTTTGCTGCCTAGGTCTGATAGAAGTGACAATACGGTACATCCATATGAATCCATCCAAGTGGCACTTGATACCCGTCTAGAGGGTTACAAGATTTCTTTCTCTACTATAGATTAAATAAGATGCTATATTTTACAAACCAAAGTTATGACTATGTTCTAAAACCTAGTATCCAAATTTGATTGATTGGTTGGTTAATTATGGATCATCATTTTTGACTCCTAGCAGTCACACAGATAGTCCAAATTTAATAATCCACATAGCTCATCCAAATTTAAGATATATAAAATTCCTAATGTTTTCATTTTGTAAGCTGTTCGAGAAACCTTTCTTTGGATTAGAGGGAAAAGTGGAATAAATATTTTAAAAACATTAAATGGCACCATAGATGAGTTTTTCACTTTAACTACACATATGTTTAAAATTTTAATTTTTAAAAAAGTTCTGAAATAGGTTGTAAATATGAAATATAATGCTGTAACATGAAAAATGAATATTCATAACTTCTGTGAAGCAAACATATCTACCTTAATAAACTCATTTAACAGAATTCTTCCTTCCTTGCTCATAAGGAAGATCAAATACATTGTTCAAACCTTTGAATTCTCTTCCAGATCACTGGAACTCTTAATACTAGTATTTTTTCAGCCATAAAGACTGAAAAAAGGGAGAAAATTACAGATTTGCTCTCAAGACACTGGATAATGTACCTGATATTTTATTTTATGCTCCAGCTGACTGTTTTACATCAATGGAACACATATAAGCTAAAATGGAGCAATGAAAAAAAATCTTGTTAAAGTACCCATACAATTTAAAGAGTAATTTAGTAAAATAAATGACTTGAAGTTAATAGTGTGTTTTCAATAGATTGTAAATCAGAAGACACAACAGAGCTTTTTTTACTTCTTTCAGATTTGTTTGCCACCCTTTTTTCCTGTGGCAGTTTTGTTATTTGCTTCATTAGGATTGGAAGCAGTAAATTATGCTGCATTTCTGTTTAGATCTCAGCATGATGTGCAAGCAGAAAGCTGCCAATTGATTTAAATGCAGAGCATTTGCCAGCTTAGTTTTATTTTGCAAATTCTGAAAACCACTTTTTAGAATTTGTTCAGAAGGCAGCGTGTCCATTTATGTCTTGCTTTAGGACTAACCAAATTATGGCAGTGCTACAACCAAAAGAAAGGATCAGTTGAACTGTTCTGTGCTTTGATTAAATTATTTGTACCATTTAAACTGTATCTAGAAATGCATTTTATTGATTGAAAGAAACCTTGTGGCCAAAGACCCATGAAAGATGCTCATTTCATTTAATCTGAGACAAAGAAATCACATATTTGTGGAAGAAATGCAATTCCAAGAAAGGTCATGGTAACCCAGACTTCTCTCCTACCCCCTTACTAAGTCTTTGCTCATCACCAACAAAAATGAGGAAAGAGGTGGTGCGATAGCAACACTTACTTTTTGGTTTCTGGATGGCTGGATATTAGTGGCGGAGAGAGCGAAGGAAGAACTGTAGCTGTTCTGCAATATTCTGCAGCCAAATGCTTGTAATGCTGCCTCAAATAAATAACAAGCTGACCTGCCTATAAGTGGTACTATTTTCCATAAAGATTTCCACAGGATGCTTGCTTACTGGTTTACTAAATCAAGGCTTGTTGTGCCTTGGGACTGATGCATTTGATTAATAATTAGCCGCAATGTCAGTTTTGCCTGCTGTTGGCTTAAGTGTGCATTGTAGCTCTGTGTATTTTGTCTGCCTATTATGTACAGGAATTCAAGCCTATTGGTGCAACTCATAACAGAAAGGCCAAGCCTTTTGTTGCAGCAGCTAACCTTGATGACAAAAGGCAGGTAATGAGTTCTGCCTATAACTCTCCAATTGGGCTTTATTCATCTGGCAATATACAGGATGCTCTTCATGGACAGCTGCGTGGCCTGATCTCTAGTTCAGCTGAAAAGTGAGTACCACAGTGTGCAATGGCCTCTCATCACTACCTTTGGTATCCTTGTTTCTTATATTGTTGAGTCCATCGCTTCCTGCCTTTTGCTCCCTTTTTTCTTTCCTGATCTTCAAAACTTTTAAAAAAGTGCCTTTCAAGATACTATCTTCAAATGAATATTTATGTGGGAAGGACCAATATTTCTCTTCTAGAGAACTGTCAACACAAAATTTATGCTTAGGTGCAACATTGAATTCAATCCAGCCCAAAGCTAAACAAGGATCAAAAATATAATTTTATGCATATATACATGCTATGAATTGAAACCGATTTAGTTTTAATTTGACACTCATCTGAATAAATATAACAGGGCTAAACCTGCATATCATGCTGCTTTCAAGTGTTGTTGTTTATATTGATGTGCGCAGCCTATTCCTGGATGCTTTTGATATTTTAAATCTCTGTATTTCATGGGACTTGCTTTGTAGAATATGTAATAGCAGCTTTAAAATGCCTGATTTTAGGTAGGCTATAAGCCATCACTCTGTTTTCCTTCCAATAACAGGAAATGTGCTAATACTACTACTTTACAACTTACATTCCATAATTTTCAATGTGTGCATTATCTTATCTTCTTTGGAAACACATATATTTGAATTTGCTGAAAGTTGTTTTGTAACCCTTTCCTTTCTTTCCAGGACATAGGCTACTTTGAACACAAACATAATGTTCGACCTAAACCTTTCGTAGTCCAAAGCCCAAGCAGGTCATAACTTTTGCCTGTAACTGGTGCATGATTTTTTTCCACAATCCAGTTCAGTAATACTGCTACTTCAGTATGGTGTAAATCCTTCTAATGAATGAAACGCTTGCTTCACAGCTGTAGTGAAACAGTGATTCCCAAGTAATAAAGAGATCCAGCTCTTAATTCATGGAAAGTGTTGATAAAAATGTAGCATACTGTATTGATTCAAGTTACAACATCTTAGGCCACAGGGTTCCCAAAATTCTATTAAGTTCAATAGATCTTGCATCAGAGGACCTTTGAATATACGAATTAACGTGCTAGCAAGATAGATAAACCTAAGATATTTATTATGAATAAAACAGGAAAATGGACTAAAGTTTGATTTAATGCAGAAAGAATATAAATTAATAGGAATATTATTTTCCTTCATTAATTCCTACATTGCTGTAAGACTTTATGGAGAATGACATTTGAGAATTGAAAATATATAGTACGAATTACTTAGTAATATGTAGGAAATCAAGTATCGGTTTTAATTTCTCTTGTCATCAGTTATGTTTAAAAAACTGATAAGGTTTGAAAATTATGACGCCATGTTTACCTAGCATAATTTTTGTGTTTATCTAGTAACATATAATATTGCTTATAAATGAACTGGAAGTTCATACTACTTGTGGATCCTCTTGTTTTCTGGCATTACTAATGAGCGCCTTGTTGCTTATGGCCATACTTGTGGTGTTGACAATGTATTTAAGTTATTAGCATTAACCTTGCCATTAACTGACAGACCTGGTTCTTGTCTTCCAAACATTGGCTCTTGGTCTTGCTTTTTTACTAAGGAATGTCACATGGAGCTCTCCCTTTTTAGGGATATTTGGCTGAGAGATCTGGCAAATGGAAAACTGCATGCTTGCTTGGGAGCATGTAAGGCTTTTCTGAATTTCTTTGCTCTTGCGTCTAAGGAATGGATTTTCTTGAAAAATATGCTGGTATAGTCTTATAGGAATTCCTCTTGACAACCTTGAATTAGTTGTGCATTTTGACTGGAATTTTTTAAAAGGATCTGTGCTTTAGGAAATGTTATCATTCATATAAATTAAAAATATTTTAGTATTTCTAGAAATATTTAGTGATACAGTTGTGGCATACAATGAATATTTGCAGTCATATAAGATTTGTGATAATAACAAGATAACTTGTTATTGTTTGAGCTTGGGCATGCCGGTAAATGTTGGGAATCATATGCATTTAATTGGCAGTATTCAGCAAAAATGATGAGATTTAAGTTTCATTTCAAAAGCTCGTAAAACTTGACACTTTTAATATTCACCAGATTGTGACTATTTAGCCTGCAATCCTTGCACAATTAGCTAACAGTAAACCACCGTGAAATCAATTAATTTCATGCCCTAAATACATGTGATTTCAGCCTTGTAGAGCAAACCTAAAGTATACCTGCTCATCTAGATTCAAATTCCAATGAAACAGTGAGATTTGTCGATGAGTAGGAAAATATACTCACCATTGTCTTAAAACAAATTGATTCAGAATTAAATCTAAGTATTTCTACTATATTTTAGCTCTGTTGTACACTGCCCAGAGTCATTTGTTTGTGAGATGGGCAGGTATATACATTGGTTTAATAAATAAATAAAAATTCCTGATAAATTCAAACCCCCAAAATAACTTTCCAACACAATTTCCAATCAAAAGTGAGTTGCCATGTTAATGTCTAAGAGAGGAATTAGATTTAAGGTCACTCCTATGACACATCACAGTCATTTTCCAGGGATACATAGAAGTTCTTCATTATGAAATTATTCAGAATCATTGCAAAGTTTCAATTGTCATCACTAATCAAGTGATTAGCTACAAGATAGCAACAGCTATGGATTTTAGAAGGAGTGGAGATATTTTCTTTCCACATTGAGAGCTAGACGCTAGGCCACAGGTATCAAACTCGATTGCATCACATGATGTATCATAACGTTTTTTGCCTTTGCGGAGCTGGGGTGGGTGTGGCCTGTGCGTGATGCATCCGTCCCATGGCCTGCCAGTTTGACACCCTTGCTCTAGGCCGTAATAACTGTTTGTTATCCTCTTAACATAAATCCATATGTAACACTTAACATAATCGACACTGTAGTCTGCCTTTCCATAACATGATCACTTCCTGATTTCTTGGTACCACATCATGCAGAAATGCCAGCCAGCTGTTTTAAAATATCAACGATATTATAAACAATAGCCTCCCATCAATGTTCAGTAAACATCGTTTTTTCCCCATTGTGCAATATTTGAAAGGGAAAGACTGACTATATGTTTAGTAGTTCCTTAATTTTATTGGTTAATATGTCCAAACTGATTTATTGCATTCATAACTGAATTATTGTGTCCAAAAGGACTCTAACCCATGTTATGTAGTAATAAAAGACCTTTAAACAGAAAAAGTGATATATCATGCGAACCTGCTTTTTAACATATCAATGTATGTATTTTTAACATAACCAAAATATGACTCATTTTCTCGATTTTGGCTAATCATATTTTTAATTGAAATGACCTAAAATCTAACTTCCCCTTCCTTAAACATTAGATAAGAATAATAAAATTAATGTTACCAAAGAGATACTGCATTTAGCAATGACATTTTGAATAATAATATTGCAATGAACTCAATGGTAAATATACGTTTGTGTAGTTTTGATTTTGGACCATTGAATATTTCATCACTATAATATACAAACAATGCATGCATATTTTTCCAATGTGAAACAAATGCAGGAAAATATATTTGCACAGTTTAATTATTTTCTGTGTCATTGCAATTTAAATAATTAACCGCCTGATTTTCAGAGTTCCTTTTTTAGAACATCAGGATTCAGAATAAGATATATATTTATATTGACATCAAGAAATTCTTAGGAAACAGATTATGGTACACTGAAATGGCTGCAATATTATTAAAATATCAGTATGATTATATCTATAATTTTGGACTGAAGAGTATGAACATTATTGTTGCTTTTAATGCAATGAACTTCAAAAGATTCAAAAACTAATATTAAATTGCCTGAATCTGGTAACGTTATTAAACTAGCATACATTTTAGTGGACAGTGGTGAGACTTGATCATACAAAAGATGAGGATCTTTTACAACAGTTTGCACACAGCAGAAAACTTAGACAAAAGCTTGCGCTGAATTCTTGCATTTGCGTCCGCTCTCTTTGATCACTCTTGAAACTGCATGTGCCTTTTATTTACCTTCTGTTCTCACTCTGATTTGAATCACATATGCAGTACTCCTTCCGGTTTTGATGGCAGCAGTGGACGTAGCACACCCTCTTCCATTAGCACTGTTAGCACTATCTGTCCTACTGAGTTGAAAGCTGCAGCTAAGATGGCCCCCAACATTCCCTTAGAAATGGAGCTTCCTGGTGTCAAGATTGTGCACGCTCAGTTTAACACTCCTATGCAGATGTATTCAGATGACAATATTATGGAAACACTGCAGGGACAGGTTGCTACAGCACTCGGGGAAACACCCCCTATAAGGTAATGGGAGCCATCCTGTGTGCTTAGCATACTGCATGAAAAATGCTGCCTGTGTGCCAGCTATTTGCTTGTCATTCATTGAGGCTTTTAGGTATAGTTACCCCATGCCACTTTAAAGGCCTTTCCCCATTGTTCAGTGAAAGAACGCTTCACCCCTCCTCAAGTCATCAAAGAAAGCATATTACTGGCTATTCTCGCTTGTCAGGCCCTATCCTGCCTCTAGATCTTCTGCTATGTATTGGATGTTGGTATCTTGTTTTAGATTGAGCAGAGGCCGTAAGCAAAGCCACTGATTAAAACCTGGGACAACTGCCTTCCTTCTTTCTCAATACTGCTCTTGCAATATTGCAGCACGAAGCATTAAGCAAACCATGGTGAGGAGGAGGAGGAGGAGGAGGAGACGCTGTTGCTTCACTAAACATTACACACAAACTCAACATAGCAGAGGCTGTTCCATTTCCCTTGCCATCCTCCCCTCACCTGGCAGCAGATCTCCAGGAAAGGGTAGTAGGAGAAAGGAGCTGACTCTCGTCCAGCATTACCATACAGGCACCCAAACTGCTTATAATCAAAGAAGCTTTTCCAGAAACCAAAAGAAAAGGAAAAAAATAAAATAAACAACCAATAGGCGTGTGGGAACGGAGGTGGCAGTTGTGAGATGGTAAGAAGGAGTTCTTGAACTGCAGCAAGTAACTCACCATCAACTGTTAGTTGGGCTACTTTTAAACATAGGTTTAACAGTCTTCAGAAAGAGTAATCTATGTTCAAAAGCACACTGGGGAAAACTGACAAGCTTGATGGGGAGATCATACACTGAAATGGCAGAAAGAAGGCTGGCTCTTTCTTGCTTCACTTAATAATACATCCCCATGGCTGCTCTTCAGTCTGATCCATGTCTCTGAGCGAAGGATCCTGTTGGCTCACCTATGAAAATGGGGAAGAACTTCTATGAAAAAATCTGACGAGCAGACCCTGGAAGACTGTGGCTAGGGACTAGAGTGCAGGGGCATTTCTGCAGCAATCTCAAGTGACCAATGATTTCATCCCCTTTATTAATCTTATCTGAAAGTCAGACTGCAGATACCTGTCCAAAAATTTGCTTAGCTTCTTGAAAACAAAAATAGAGTAATAGTTCAGGAATGTCTGTATCTCATTAGAGATCTCTTTAAGTCCAGTTTCAACTCTTTTTATTTTTTTTCTCATGAGTTATATCCTGTACTAGAAAATGAAAAACCTCAAAGTACATAAAGGAACATTAATTTCATACTCATTATGAAAATTGAGTAGGATTGCATCAGTCTATCGTTCCTATTTAGATTTATAATTGTAGATGTATTAACATTTTGGCAAGTTTACGATCAGAGAGCTTTATCCATCAATCAAGTTAGGTGCAATATAATCCTGCGCATAAAATTGCATTAAGAATTACTCCCAGGTAACCGATTATTTATAATTATACTTTGTAGCCATATTCTGTGCTTATGTGGTAGTGATACTTCTAAATATATATAATATTGTGCTTTCTCTTTATTTCTGTCTTTCTTACTAATCAATTAATTTCTGAAAAGCTTTAAACCCTTTTGCTGGATTATTACTAAAGTTGGTTTTGTCTGGTGTCTATTAATAGAATTTTGTTTAGGAGGAAGGGGGAAACTGATCATGCTTTATGGAACAAAATATTTTGAAGGTAACACTCATTAAATAAAGGTCATTGGATAACATTGAAGGAGCTTTTTTTTATCTGAGTTATCTAGGTCAACATTGATTTTATAAATTACTATATTTTATGTGTATGTGTATACAGTATATACAGTATATACAATATATACAGTACATATATATACACATACATATATACATACACATACACACACACACACACACACACACACACACACATAATATTTAGGTTTCTTCGGGTATATGTCAGGCTGCAAAACGGCTGCAAAAGACTGACACACACAATGAAGACGAACTCAATACACAAGCCTGATGATGTCAGATGAGATTCTGCTGAAACATCGCTACAACTTTAAAAGCACAACTATAAAGACGTGTGAAAATACCTGAACAAAGCTAAATACCATACATATATATATACATATATACATACACACACACAAAAATGTTGTGAAAGTTTTTAAAAAATGCATACATTTTCTTGAAGGCTTTATTTAAATTATGTAACACATTTAAATTGCCAACAGCTAAGGATTCATTGATCATAATATTAATAAAAAAGTATTTTGACCCAAGAAGAGAGCTAATTGTCATGCTAATATGACTTGTTTCATTTTTGCATTTGTTTCATTGGGGCTTTTCATAACAAAGCTGGAGTTATGAATGAAATCTTCACTGATTTTATTACAAGTAACCTGTTTTTGAAAACCATTCCAGAAAAAAAAAAATTGAAATGCTTTTGTGGTTGGACTTTGTTTTCATTAGACTCAAATGTAAGGATGGTATCTTTCTTCTTGGGAATATTTTATGTGTTATAACTAATATTATTCTGAAATTTTCTTTGGTATGTAACACGATTAGGAGCTAAACTGAATAGGAACCTATTATATATAGAAAGATTACAATTTACAAGTTTAAAAATTATGTACTTTAAACCAGGAGTCGCCAACCTTTTAAACCTTAGGGACCACCAAACTCATAATTTTAAATCCCAGGGACCACTAAATGGATTTTGATTGAGGGTGGTTTGCTGATGATGGTGGAAGAGAGAGAGAGAGATCTGATCTAACCTCTCCCTCCCTCTCTCCCTCTCTCTCTCTCACAAACACACACACACACACACAGAGGCAGGGGTGGGATTCAAATTTCTTAACAACCAGTTATTGGGCAGGGCCTAATTTGTGGGTGTGGCTTGGTCGTGTGACTGGCTGGGCATGGCTTGTGTGTAAATATTATAAATATTGATGTAAATATTGATTTTTTTATTTTAAAAAAGAGCAACTTTTACCCAAAATCAAGCAAAGCAGGCAGACAGATTGAGTTGCTCACAGAATCACAGATTCAGAGATCTATCTTTCTGCCATTGGCTACTTGAGTCTGTCACATAAAATTTGCTTGCAAGCAAACTCTTTTGCTAGGAAGCAAATTCACAAAATTGACTCTGCAGAGCCAAAGATCTAAAGATTACCTAGAAAGCAAGAAATGCAACAATGTTCTGCTTTCTAGCCAATCTAAATCTCCCGGCACAGCAGAACAGCATATGGTCGGGGGAGGGGGGGGGGGGGGGGGAATAACAACTTAGCAGGCAAGTTTGTCAGGTAAGGAGTGAGTGGGCAGGGAGGGTTCCCATGTGCGTGGTGCAGCCTTGTGTTCCCATGCAGCCTGGATTAATTGCTTTGGGGGGTGCTTTGTGGGTGACATTTCTCTGCGAACCACCAAAATTTTCTCACAGTTGGTAAACACTGCTTTAAACTACTTTTATTTAATGTATGCATTTCTGAAGGCCCAGATGTTACCCTGTCTTGATTTTCTAGATATGTTCATTACATCTAATGAATTTCATGAGATTACTTTCTTTTTTGTTCGTTGAACTGAAGATGTCATTTGCTATTGCTTCTAATTTTTTTTATATTGCTATACAGTATTTTTAGTATAAAGATTTACTTTTTAATATTTTTAATTTACTTTTTAATATCTGTTTTTAGCAAAAAAAAAAGCTGTAGTACCAGCATTTTCCAATGCCCCAGATCAACATACACTAAAACTGTAGAAAATATCCTGGGCAACAAATTGCTATCTGTTCCTTTCCCCAAAAATGAGTTCTAGCTAAACTTTTCAATCTGTATTCATCACAGCTTGCCCTAAAACTAACCATATGCAAGGGCAGAACTAAGTTACTGTAGCTCTTTTCTTGTTTTATGAAGCAAGTACAATCAAATTCAAATTGCAGAATAATTTGTAATTATGAATCTGATCCTAAGAACCACACAGAAAGTTCTGCCTACTCAAAAGACATTTGAATTCTTCTTCCTCAATTAATTTCAACATACACCTATCAAAATCACAAAGGCTTTCAAAAGCATTTTGTGATAGGTTGGGTTTTTTTGACCACGGGAAGGTATTTAGAGCCCGTCAAAAGGCCTTCTGTAAACCCCAAACTCTTGGTGTAACTGAGGTAATTTTTCTGAACTCACACTGTATTAAAATGAACACAAAGATGTGTTCCAAAAGTCATTTTATAGTGTACATGTGAATATCCTTCTATAATATCCCTTGATGATTAACTACTTTTATTTCATATTTGCATGCTCTTTGCAGTGAGCCAGCACCTGCAGTGCCCCAGTCTGATGTTTATAGGATGTTACATGATGATCCTCAAGGACCTAGCCAACCACGCCAGTCCGGTTCTTTTAAAGTGCTCCAAGACATGGTCTCTGAAGAATCTGGTTAGTTACCATATTGTATCTTTCATTATTTAAGTTATAAGAGGGAACATAGAGCAGCGTGCTAAATTTAAATGTTTGGATTCTGGTCTGTATCTACAGTTGTGCTCATAAGTTTACATACCCTGGCAGAATTTATGATTTCTTGGCCATTTTTCAGATAATATGAATGATAACACAATTTTTTTTCTTTCACTCAAGGTTAGTGGTTGGCTGAAGCCATTTATTATCAATCAACGGTGTTTACTCTTTTGAAATCATAATGACAACAGAAACTACCCAAATGACCCTGATCAAAAGTTTACATGCCCTGGTGATTTTGGCCTGATAACATGCACATAGGTTGGCACAAAAGGGTTTGAATTGCTATTAAAGGTAACCATCCTCACCTGTGATCTGTTTGCTTGTAATTAGTGTGTGTGTATAAAAGTTCAGTGGGTTCCTGGACTCCTGACAGACCCTTGCATCTTTCATGCAGTGCTGCACTGATGTTTCTGGCTTCTGAGATATGGGGAAAGCAAAAGAATTGTCAAATGATCTGTGGGAAAAGGTAGTTGAACTGTATAAAACAGGAAAGGAATATAAAAAGATATCCAAGGATTTGAGAATGCCAATCAGCAGTGTTCAAATACTAATCAAGAAGTGGAAAATGAGAGGTTCTGTTGAAACCAAACCACAGTCAGGTAGACCAACTAAAATTTCAGCCACAACTGCCAGGAAAATTGTTCAGGATGCAAAGAAAAACCCACAAATCTTCAGGTGAAATACAGGATTCTCTGAAAAATATGTGATGTGACTGTTTCAAGATGCACAATAAGGAGGCACTGGAAGAAAGATGGGCTGCATGGTCGAGTCACCAGAAGAAAGCCATTACTCTGCAAATGCCACAAAGTATCCCACTTACAATATGCCAAACAGCACAGAGACAAGCCTGAAACCTTGTGGCATAAAGGCATTTGAAGCGATGAAGCCAAAATTGAGCTTTTTGGCCACAACCATAAACACTACATTTGGAGAGGAGTCGACAAGGCCTATGATGAAAACCATTCCTACTGTGAAACACAGAGGTGGATCACTGATGTTTTGACAATGTGTGAGCTACAAAAGCATAGGAAATTTGGTCAGAATTGATGGCAAGATGAATGCAGTATGTTATCAAAAGATACTGGAGGAAAATTTGCATTCATCAGCCCGGAAGCTGCACATGGGACATACTTGGACATTCCAACATGACAATGATGCTAAACACAAGGCCAAGTCGACCCGTCATTGGCTACAGCAGAATAAAGTGACGGTTCTGGAGTGGCCATCTCAGTCTCCTGACCTCAATATCATTGAGTCACTCTGGAGAGATCTCAAACGTGCAGTTCATGCAAGACAGCCCAAGAATTTACAGGAACTGGAGGCTTTTTGCCAGGAAGAATGGGCAGCTTTACCATCCGAGAAGATAAAGAGCCTCATCTACACATACCACAAAGACGTCAAGCTGTGATTGATATTAAGAACTGGGGTATGTAAACTTTTGATCAGGGTCATTTGAGTAGTTTCTGTTGTCATTATGATTTCAAAAGAGTAAACACAGTTGATTGATAATAAATGGCTTCAGCCAACCACTAACCATGAGTGAAAGAAAAGTTTTTGTGTTATCATTCATATCTTCTGAAAAATGGCCAAGAAATCATAAATTCTGCCAGGGTATGTAAACTTATGAGCACAACTGTATATAGACTTATACATACATGACTTAAATTCCTAATGCAAGAAAGCATTCAAGAATAGGAAGCATAAATAAAATGTGATTATATCAATAAAAATATAAATCAGGAATATTACTTTAAGAGAGAGACTGTTAAAATAGTATTTTTATGGTACAAAAAAAAAGTCAGGGAGAGCTAAAATAAAACACATTTTATAGAAAGAATATACTGTTTTAAGTGCACTTCTATACTGCTTTAATCAGAAGCATTTTACTCTGCTGCGTTATTTATTACAGTGTGTTTTTAGAAATTTAAGCAATTGGCATGGAATGCATATCTTAATCCAGACCATTAAGCTGTTGGTCTTTTGATATGTTAACTACCTATGAGATCAAATTCCTCTTAACACTCACTTGGAGATTATCTTAAATCCAAATTTAATAGTGAGTATAAATAGTAATAGAAAAAAAAACTTTAACATTGAACAGGGGCATTCTTAGACAGAAACAAAAAAAAAAATCAAGGTGCAACTATGAAGCATGAAGGTCAAGACATTGATTGCATAGTCATTGCTGCCATCTTGATTTTCTTGATCTCCCCGCTGCATCCACCCCTGACGGTGAATTAAAATAGTTTTATTTATATTTTTAAAGAAAAATGCAGAAATTACTGGTCTTTTTTGTCAGTGTATAGAGTAATTAAAAAAGGACTAAGAATTCTGTAATTAAGTTTTCCTATTCTCTGTTATACAGATTAGCATCCCTCTGATTATTTTAAGGATGGAAAGTAATAGTTAAAAGAAAACTTTTTAAATGTTTTGGTCTTTTACTTTTCTAGAAAATCCCTGTTAATTCTACAAGAGGCAAGAATATCTGGGAAAAGCTTCTCAGAAAAATCCTCACTCTTCCACCAAAATCATATTTCAGAAACAGGCTTTTGGTAGATGCTATAAAAGGAAGTGATGAAATACTGTTTCATTAATTACTTCTTTCCTACCTTCAAGGGAGTTGTTTGAACCTGCTGATTGGTAATCCATTGTTCTTCCCTCCAAAGCCCTAGGTGTAGAATAGACATGATGCACAGCAATTTTATCTATTTGTATTTTTTGTTTATTTTGTTTCTATTTTTATATCTTCTCATCAATCTTGAGTCCTGGTGACTTCCTGGACAGGTCGTTGCAGTTCACTTGCCAAGATTTCAGAAGTAATCTGCCATTGCCTGCTTTTGGGGGCTGAGATAAAATTACTAGCACAAGGGTCACCCATGTGGCTTTGTGTCTAAGGCTCAAGAGTTTTTGCTTCATGGTCTCCTGGTTTCTAGCCTGGTACCCTAATCATTTTATATCCAGCTGCTATCTTATTTGAAGTTATATTTATTGGATGACATAGCCAGAATTCACAGCAATTCTAAGAGAGATTGTTCCAACATCAAGGGACTCCAACACCAGACTGGAGAAAGGAAAACTCCTTAAATCCTAGTAATTTCAGTGAAGTTAGCAGTGATGAAATCACCTGCATTCCTATGAGAATAAGAAAAAAAAAATCCCCCCTACAAATCAATATACATACTGTAGATAAAAAGATAACTGAATAGTAAAGGAATTAAAAGAGTGTTGTACATATGCATATTTCATCAATAAAATAGCACAAATTATTTGTGAAAGAGTATCTATTATAATGAAAAAAATCCTAATATGGGATGAAAACAAATGTTTATACATTTTAAACTTCTAATTATAATTTAAGTCACCCAAGACTACGTATATTGTTTTGTTTTGTTTGCAGATGGTCGTCCCAGTGGGACAAGGAGTGTAAAAGCACCCATCACAAAGATGGGTGCTGGTGCAGGAAGTGTGCCAAAAGTGCCTTTGTGTGACAAGTGTGGAAACGGCATCGTGTAAGATTTCATTTTCTTATCATAGATTTGTAACATTGATTTTCAAAAGAGCTTGTAACAACCTGTTATGAAAAGAGATATCTCTCATTTATAATCTTAAACAAGGTTGTTTGTTTACATACATCATTTAATAAATACAGGTAGAGTCCTTGACTTACAACTACAATTGAGCCCAAAATGTCTGTTGCTAAGCAAGATAGTTAGTTTTGCCCCATTTTACAACCTTTCTTGCAACAGTTGTTAAGTGAATCACTGCAGTTGTTAAGTTAGTAACACGATTGTTAAGTGAATCTGGCTTTCTCATTGACTTTGCTTGTCAAAGATGATCACATAACCCTGGGATACTACAACCATCATAAATACATGCCAGTTGCCAAGCATCTGAATTTTGATCAGGTGACCATAGGGATGCTGCAACAGTTGTGTAAGAGCGGAAAATGGTCATAAGACACTTTTTTCAATCACTTTGAATGGTTATTAAATGAATGCTTTGAATGTGAGGACTACCTGTATTCTGTGGTTGAGCCAAACAACGCTCCCAGAATAAACATTCAGGTTTCCCCACTAGATTAAAATGTAAAAGACAGAGCATAAAAGTGAAACAGAACAAAAAGGGAAGAGGAAAAAGAAAACCACGGATTCCTGGAAAGCTCACAAATGAAATCAAAATGCCATACTATCAATGACACATTGTATCTAGTCTTCTAACATACTTTTAAAAGGTTAAAAGAAGAAAGCCTGGGGCCTTGCTATAAATAAAGCCCACATGCCCCTTTTTTATCTTTTCTTCTTTAATGTTTCATTTAACTCCAGTTGGGAATCTAACCAAGCTATGCTTGGAGAATGGCAATCATAGAGATTAGAACCATGCCCAAGAAATGTGGTAGAGCTGAAGAAGACCGAAGCTCACAATTTATTGACCCGGGGAACCTAAGCAGAAGACTTGTTATTGATTTCTGGGTCCCAGTCTCTGAAAATTGCATTCAGCTGACTTTTTCTTTTTTTCCTGTTTTTTTTTCTTGTTTAACAGTGGCACAGTAGTAAAAGCCCGTGACAAGTACAGGCACCCAGAATGTTTCATCTGTTCCGACTGCAATCTCAACCTGAAGCAGAAAGGTTACTTCTTTGTGGAAGGGCAGTTATACTGTGAAACTCATGCCAGGGCTCGCACGAGGCCCCCAGAGGGTTATGAAGCTGTCACCGTTTACCCCAAGGCTTAACTGTTTGGAGAGACACATGCCTGCATGCACGCCCAGGGCACTCTCAGCTTACGGCAGCTCTAGGGCTAATGGCCTAAATCCAGCAAACTGCTCTTTGCAAGGGGGAGGGGGAAGGAGGATAGGATGGAGGGCTCAGGGAAAAGGATTGGGGTTTTTAGTAGACCATTCTGAGTCTGGAATAGGGGATAGCCTTTTCCAAGACTTTATCACTCTTGTCTGCCAGGGTAATCCGACAGAAGTAAACATAACAGATTGTACTACATTAAGCAAAGCTAAGTTCTTCACATGGGTTATATTTTCGTTCAGATGATTGCGCACACATTACTAAGGGAAAAAAAAAAGAATCCGGTCTATTGATGTTCTCAGCCTCCAAGCCACAAACACAAATCCTTTATGTTAAGGACACCTACCTGTTATAAAGACAGCCTACATCCTTATGAGCATTGATTTGTTTTTATATCAGCGTTAATCACTATGATAAATCAAATGTGGTTGCCCACTCCTATCCACATGCTTGCTGGTTTTCATGACCCACCGTACTACTACTGCCATCTCTTCCTCAACTTCAAGGCAAAGTATACTGCTGCAAGGAAGATTACCTGACAGTATCTAAATGCATAGCCATTAAAACTAGTAGTAGCAAATCAGCTAGAGACAGAAATGAAGACTCAGAGCAGTAGGAGAGGGCAACAGTTTCATATTGTCAATGAATGGCTTGCTGCAATAGGGACACACTTTAGTATAAAATAGGCACAGCAAAAAAGCAAATTCTTTTTTAATCAGCCACAAATCACAAAGCTTCTGATTTTCTTTTTTAAGTATTGACACAGTTCCTAAGAACTATATTTTTACTTGCTCTGCCAAGTTTTCTCAGCCTGGTGCCTTACAACTCCCATTGTGCCAACCACAAGGCAAACTTTCCCATGTTTATTGCTTGTGAAGCAAAAGAGGAAAAGAATTCCTAGGCTGAAATAATGTCAGCTATTGGTTTTTATCCGTATTTCCCTTTGCTGTGTAAGCAAATCAATTAGGGAAAGATTAACCAGAAAAGCAACAGGCCACTGAACCTATAGCAAAATAGAAATGGGATTACATTCCTGGAATGGTGGGTTTTCTATCTCAGGACAAATGGTTCACATTGATCTAGTGTTAGGGATCCATATATGTAGAAGGATATAGTTCTGAATATACATTTTGCTCTTTCTTTGCAACACTATCTACACCTCACAGTGGATGAGCAAGCACATGTCCATCCAGGATGCTAGCTGCAATAGAAGCTGGGTCAGGGGCTTTGGTTGTGATGTTCAATAGAAGTGTGCCGTTCAAAATTAGATTTTTAAGAACCGTGTTGGGCACAAACAGGCCCTAAGATATGTTGATATAGGTCTTACATTGAAATTATGGTGGTTGTTGATTATTAAGAGCTGAAATTCTGTAGGTTTGTTTGATTTCTCTGTATAAAGGCAATTAAAAAGCTTTTTTAAAAAAATGTTTTCAATGAGTGGTTTCTTCTTGCAACGTTACCATTAACCATATACAAAATACAAGGTGTGTGAGAAATGGGGATATTTATCAGCAACAGTTTTTTTTTTAAAGGGAACACCACAAATTAACAACAGTTTCTCTATGGAGCAAAATGATTTCATGTTTTTAGAAGAAAGCTTTCCAAGGTCAAGCATATTTGGCCTATGTCTTAAGAATCTGACAGCAGGACTGTTGATAGCTTTAGGTGACAACAATAGTAAGCATTCTTAAGTTATAGCCTACTTTATCTTTAAAAAAAAGGCATGACAATCTTCCAAGGGAAAACAGTAAATATCTATAGTAAACAATGTTTAGGATCAACGTATTATTTTATTTGATATATGTGGTGTGTTTATGACCCATAATAAAGATAGTCATTCCTTAGAAATAACCAAAGCACCACCAAACTGCTAATATGTGTGTTGGGAAGAAAAAAATCATTTTAAAATCAAAGACAAATCGTAGCCAGTGGCATCAATGGGGAGTGGAATGTCAAAATATGAGAATGCCAGGAATAATATAGCAGCTGAAGCCCTATCTTTTTTTTTTATATTTATTTATTTTGTCAAGCAATTATAAGATAACAGGTATAAGTATAAACATAGTTATGGATACATGAAATGGATACATATAAGAAAAAAAAAATAGGACAGGGACGGTAGGCACGTTGGTGTGCTTATGCACGCCCCCTACAGACCTCTTAAGAAAAGGGTGAGGTCAATAGTAGACAGTGTTAAGGTTAAAGTTTTTGGGGTTTGGGGAAGAAACCAGAGTCAGAGTATTCCAGACATTGACCACTCTGTTACTGAAGTTGTATTTTCTGCAGTCAAGTTTGGTGTGGTTTACCTTGAGCTTGTATCTATTGTTTGCTCTTGTATTGTTATGGTTGAAGCTGAAGTATTCATTGACAGGTAGGACATTGCAATGTATCATTTTATATACTATAGGTCTAGAATTTTGAGTCTGGTGGCATAAGGTATTCTGCAACGAGTAGAGGAGTGGAGAACTCGTCTTGTGAAATATTACTGGACTTTCTCAACTGTGTTAATATCAGATACGTAATGCGGGTTCCAAACTGATGATCTGTATTCAAGTATTGGTCTAGCAAATGTTTTGCTTAATTATGAGATAAAGCAGTAGGGTAGGGTGGCACCTCCTAATGGAAGTACAACTAACTTCCTAAAGGCTGTAAAAACACAGATTCTGCCACCAAAAAAATATCCTGTTTGTATGTTTTATTATGCAATTTTGCCTCATTTGGTTTGGCCAAGAAGAAAAAAAGAAAATTCTATTAACTCATGAAACATATAAGGTTTCAAATGGAGGCATGGGTAGCAAATCCTTGCTTTGTGAAACATGTTTGAGTTGTGCCAGAGGTTTGAGCTAGTATGCGGTACTTGACAGAAAACTATTCAGCAAGTTAAATGGAGCAAATTGGAGCTGTTGGATGAGAGATCTGCTCTGTGTTAGTTGCCTTACAAGGCCAGGTATCAGTGTTGCTTAATAATTAAAATACAACATTGTCAGCCTGGCAATTCTCCACAGAGAGCCCACAGAGATGACTAAACTGTTCTTTAATTATCTATTAGCCTGCCAATCAATAAAAGACTACAGTATGAAGATTAAAAAGCAAAGTGTTCATACCTGGATCACTTGTCACTTTAAAGGGAGAAGGGGGTCCCAGCAGCAGCAATTTTCCTAGGGCTGCCGAGTTATTTCAAAATAAGACAGCCTACTTAAAAAGCCCACTTAACCGTAGAAAAATTTTTGGCATCACGGTTATATTTTTAGCACTTTTGAATGCCATCCAGATTTTCTTCCTGAGCCACAAGAAAGTCTTGCATTGTCTTCGCACTTTCCAGCTTCCTAGTTACATGTGCAGATAAGTATCCTATCCCCAGTTCCACAAATTGGACTGTACACTCAGAGTTCCATGAGTTGAAAAAAAATATCAAGGAGGGTCTAAGTTTGTTAGTAGGGCAAGCCAAATACTTTCAATTTGTCTCTGGCAAAAGTTGCACTTTACAAGAGAGTTTGGACTCTTTTGAAATATACCAAACAGTTGGGAAATGTGGGGCATTTATACATTGTTCACTGTATAATTGTCTCAGTGCATTCGCCCACATCTATAGCAAAAGCCTTCACAAAAGACACTCAGTATCTTGCTAATGATCTGAAACAATTTAAGGTAAGTAAAGACAACAAAAAAGGAAGCAAAAGCTTAGCAATACAAAGGAAGGAAACTTACAAACATCAAGTCATAATGCACAACTATATTGCTCCTCTCTCACTATTGTTACTTTATTCTCTTCAGGTGTTAAAAAATGAAGCTACTGTACATAATTCCCAAGATACCACAGATTCCCTACATTGATGAATAAATTATATGCCATTAAGACTTTTAGCAACCACATAGAGTAGATAGATTTTATCCAGGCAATCTGCCCCAATCTGGTCTTCCAGGACTTGTAAACCCTTCATCACTATGAGTCCTTCCCCCTTGCTGCTAATAATCTTATTTTCTTCTACTTTCCCCAGCTTTCAAAACCTCCAGAGAACTAGATTTTCATATAATGTGTCCAAAGCGGGATAATCTGAGCTTGGTCATTTATGCTTCAAGAGAGAATTCTGGGTTTATTTCTTTGTTTTCTTTGGTGGCTGTAGTATTCTCAGGAATCTTCTCTAACATCAAAGTTCAAAAGCATTAATACTCTTTCTTTACTGCTTCTTCAAGTTGAACTTTTGCTTCCAATAGAATGTTACAGAGAAAATCATGGCTTAAAGAGGCTCAATTTTAACCCCCAGCTGCAGGCAACTTTGTCCATGCCTCTCAGGTGAGGCCTTTAGAAGGAGAAGTATATAACAACCATTATTTTATGGAAAGGTATTCTGATTATCAATTATGTTACTAAGTTTTTTTTCATAGTGATGCTAACATGTGGATCTTTTCTGCATTTCCTTGCTGCCATTTAATAAATATGTGGATGTTTGCCATTTGTATAGGTAGGCAGGCAAACATACGATGCCATGTGGTACATAATGCCATTACCATTATAACTGAATCTTATATTACTCCAAGATACCATAGATAGCATCTTATTTTATTCCATTAGCATTAGAAGCTGGAACAGAGATATAAAACTTCTGCGCCTCTCCAAATCACTGGCATTAAGGCAATGCATGTGATTATGCTGACTCAGGCAAAAACTCTCAGCTGATTTAAGATGTTCTCATGTCACTGCAGCACTATTCCAGCGCCCATAAAATTTACCCAGGTAATATATCAAGTTTAATTATAGATGCTAGTCCCCAAATCTAATTTTTGGACTCAGAACAGAGTGAGCCTATAGACTCAGAAACTGGGAAACAAGAAGTCAAAAAGCAGCATTGTATCAGAATACTAGGCTTTGTACTCCCTAGACTGACCTGCTACTGTGAAATTCTATAATCAGTCAAAATAACATTCAATATCCCCTTATTAAAATGCTTGAAATAAGGGGGTTAGGAATTAAATAATACAGGCCATCCCTGGGAGTAAGACATAGAACAAATAAACTAAATCAAGACATTGGAAGACCTACAGTGTAAAAGGGATGCCTAAATATAGCTTTGACATATTTGCTCTTGTGTAATAGTGCTGGATTAAGCCCAATGGTTGGCCTTCACAGCTGCTACTGAACAGGTGTAAGAGGGACTTTGTGAACATAGTTGATGCAAGTTCTATTTGGGAGCCTAGCAGAAATTCATTGAGTTGGCCTGAGATCATTTGTAGCCTGAAATGCCTGCTCCTAAAGGGACTAGATTGCCCTTTGAACAGCAACAGCTTTTTCCACTTTGGACAATTAATTATATAAGCCTGAATATTTCTGCAAAGTTTCTAT